ACCCAGAGACTTCTCAGAACTCCTGCTTGGCCAGCTCCTGCCCATCTCAGTTTCTGGGAACTCCTGGCACCCTACCCTCCCGAGGGCTGGGTGCGTGGTAAACGCTGGAGAAGATCCCCTGGTTTATTACTTTTCTTAGGCAGTTCTTGCTGCCGAAAGACTGGGTGCAGAAGAAGGTGAGAGAAAGCACCTCGGCTCAGACCAGCAAAGTGAAGTCAAATGAGGCCCCAGGTGCCAGCCCTGTGGGCATTGAGCAAGTGCTTGTGCCTCTCAAGGATTGCTTTCTTCAATGACCATCATGTCACCCCCTTGGGCTTGTGATGGTTTGGCAGGTGGCCGCACCTGGTGCCTCCAGCTGCTTTCTTCCTAATTGGTTCGTCCAGGGCCGGCTAACCGTGTGCACATGTGCAAGGGTGGTTTTAATGTGTTGGCTCCTCTTAAGCCTTGAGAACTCCTGGCACGTTGCCATGGGTTCTGTTTGGCCCTTCCCCTGCTCACCTGCTCTGTACCAAGCCCTGATCTGGGGTGATCCCCTCTGACTCTCTGCTGGCCCCCACCGTCACCTGAGTTCCTCGGCAGGGGTTGTTGGTGATGGCATCCCCACTTATTTGGGGTCTGAACCTCTGCCAGGGGCACAGAGAGTGTGTAGCTAATGGACAGCTGGTTCCCAGGCAGCGCGGTGCTTGACCTTGGAGTTGGAACAGAGAACCGTCTGTTTGTGTTTCCATGAATGAGAGGGGACAGCTGGCCTGCAGACAGCAGGCTCAGTCAGTTGGGGGTTGCGTTGGCTGCTGACTTTAAGCAAACAGCAAGGGCCAGGGGCTTAGGCGGAAGGAGGATAGAAAGGAAGAAGCTGGCGGGGCTCCAGGAGAGCCACCTGAGAGCTGGTGCCTGGGCTGGGCTGTGCAGAGGCCACTGGGGGAGGTGGCAGTGAGGGAAGCTGCTCCCCAGATCTAGAGTCTGCGCTGTCAGCAAACCTGAGGATTGGGTCTACCTGGCAGGTAAGGAAGTGTGGGTCCGTTTTTTTTTGTTGTTTTTTTTTTCTAGAAGTCTCTGCTTCTTGGAGAGGTTTCTCTTGGGCTCCTTCAATAAGCAACACCCAGGTGTTAGCTAAAATCAGATTTCCTTTACAGAAATTTGGTTTGCCTAGGACTTTCCAGACCCACATAGAGCACACAAATGAAAGCAGGTTGTATTTTTTGCGTTAAGAGACAAACACAATTATCATGGTCCTCACTGCCTGTCCCAAGCCAGGTGCTTGCCAGCCCCTGGAAGGATTTGGGTATTTTCTGATTGAAGACTTGCTTACCCAGATGACTTGATATTATTCCCATAACTGTATAGCTTAAGTTCTAATTCCATTTCCTGTTCTTTCATTTTTTTTTTCTTTTTTTCTTCTTTTTGGTGCCATGGATCCTTCTTTGACATTCTGGTGAGTGCTTAAAATGCAAAATAAGATTCAGAGGAAACCAATTATATTGACTTTATTAGAATAGTTAAGAAAGCATGTGATATTATAATCCATGTGCTTCTTTGTTGATGTGTTAAATAAACAGCCTTGCCGTGGGTCTGACTCTTTTAATTTTTAATTCAGTGATAACTATAAATATTTTAAGGTATCTGCTGCTCTGTAGTGTGATAGGAAAAAATCTGTGATGTTATTGATGACCAGGACACAGGGACTGACAATATTACTGCGATGTTTCCTACACTAAAGGAAATAGAAATTTTCAGTTGCAGGTTAATAAAAATCAAGATATATTTTTTCCCATCTAAGTTCAAGGATCCCCTGTTAAAAAACCCCCAAGACAAGCAATGACCAAAGGAGGTTGTTTTCCTGAATTTTCTCTTTGTATAAACCATGACATTTCTCTGTCCCAGAATTTAGACACCTCTCTGGATCTTCAGGGGGGGCATATTAGACCAATTTAATCATCTATGCATGTCACCTGGTGTCCCCTCACTCTCTAGATGGAGTTCTGGGTCCTGTTATCCCATGTTATGGGTTGAAATGTGTCCCCCAAGCTGGACATGATGGCTCATGCCTGTACCAGCTACTCTGGAGGCTGAGGTAGGAGGATCACAAGTTCAAGGCCAGCCTGGGTAACTTTGTGAGACTCTGTCTCAAAATAAAAAGGGCTGGGGATGTAGCTCAGGGGTTTAATCCCCAGTACCACCAAAAAAAAAAAAAAAATTAGTAAAGAAAAAAGTGTCTCTCCTGAAGAATATGTTCAAGTTCTAACTCCCAGTACCTTTGAAGTATATGTCCTTTGGAAATAGAATCACTGCAGGTGTAATCAGGTAAGACGAGATCATTCTGGAATAGGATGGGCCCTTAATCCAACATGACAAATGTCCTTTAAAGAGGAGAGAAAAAGAAAGGAGAGGCTACCTGAAGACAGACACAGGGACGCGAAGACCTTGGGAAGATGAAGACAGGCTTGGGGGGTGGGGGGACTCCAGGCCACGCGTGGAGTGCCAAGGTTTGCCTTCAAACAACCGGCGCTGACAGACGGGCTCGGCACACATCCTTCCCCGATTCTTCAGACAGAGCTTGGCCCTGCGGATACCTTGATGAAGACTTCTAGGTTCCAAGTCAGGCGCAGTGGCACTCACCTATAATCCCAGCAACTTGGAAGCGTGAGGCAGGAGTCAGCCTCAGTGATTTAGTGAGACCCTGTCCCAAAATTAAATAAATAAATAAACAAAGGGGTAGGGATGTAGCTTATTGGTAAAGTGCCCTTGGATTTGATCCCCAGTATTTAAAATAATAATAATAATAATAATAATAATAGACTTCTAGGTTCTAGAACTGTGTAAGCCACAAAGCACACAGTACTGTAAGAGACGGCCCTAGGGGACACATGCCATGGGGAAGGGAGTGCCACTTTGGGGAGGAGTTGGGGCTTCCCTCCTCCCTGGCCCTGTGCAGGGTGACCGGCCACCAGAGTCTGGTTACTCTGGAGTCCCTGCCTTGACTGGGGAGTTGTCCCTGCCCTGTATCAGACCTTTCAGAAATGACAAAAGCTAGCTGCGCCTCTGGGAGTGCGTGGGCAGAGCCTGTAGCTCGAGGGAAGGGGGAAGGAGGAGGATATTTTGCATCTCATTTCAGGTGGAGGTTTTGCATAGCCAGTCAGCCTGGGAAGGAGAAAATGGTTTCTAGTTAAAGAGATAGGAAGGGATTTGGGGCCTACTGGAATAGGCACCTTAGGCTATTAAAGGGTCCCAAAGATTTACTTTCCTGGTTAAAAACAAACAAACAAACAAATAAACAAAAAAACTGTCCCACAGCGTTAAGTGAGATCTCCTGTGTATGGACCATGGGAGTCTTGAGGGGGTACAAAGAAAAACAATGTGTGCTCTGCTCCCCAAGCGGTGAGACTGAGTGGCTGGGGCCGGGGCACAGTGAGTGATTGAATGTTGCAGTGAACCCAAAATTTGCTCTGTTTTTGCCCTGCTGAGGACAATAGGAGACTCTTAGATCTGCAACCGTGTCAGGATGAACCAGTGGCGTGGGTCAAGGGGTGTCCGGGATGGACCATGGCCAAGAGAGGCAGCAGCAGTCTGAACTGTGGCTTGGGGGCTTCAAGGGCCCACCTAAGAGGAGGAATCTGAGCAGGAGCTATGAAGATAGGTAGGGCACCCTTGTTTGTTTAACTATTACTGAATCATCCTTTGAAGACGATTCAAGAAATAAGTCCTTTCATAATCCCAACTCCTACTCTGCCCCGTGGACGCCGCCTTTTCTGTGGCTGGAATGTGGCCGTGATCCTGAGCCATCCCTGTGTCGACTGATTCCACTTCTTGCGCCTGATCTTGCTGTGCACCCTCTCCCAGGTCATTTGTGGGTTGTGACATTGTGTCTGGATATACGCCATTGTTGGCCATTCCTCAAGACCTGGAGTCCCTTCTGGAGATCCCATGGTCTTAGTGGGTATAAACCGCCTTGCAGGGTGGGCCAGAGGCAGGAAGGCAGGACCCATTCAGAGGACAGGTCTGTGTGTGGCCGGGAGGAAGATGGAGACGGAGGTTGGACTTGAAATTCCAGGTGGAGGAGACTGGGCTTATTCCGTGGGCCACAGTGAACTCTTGAGGGTTTGTATCAGTTCCATGAAGATGTCCCAGACACTTGTCATGTTCTGGGCACTGTCCTAGCCTAGGGACATCTAGAAACCTCCCCAGAACCACGGTGTGTATAGGGATAGCCCAGGCAAAGACCCACAAAGATACAGGCAGAATGAGATGCTGAGGAGTTGGGAGTGGAGTCAATTCAAATGGGGCTCAAGCAAGGAGGAGCTGGAGAGTATTCAGAGCAGGTGGTGCTGGGCGTCTTCCTGGAGACAGTAGGAAGAAAAGGAGTTCTACACAAGAGGACACAGGGACAGGGCTGAGCACCTGGGACATGTCCAGGTCGAAGTGGCTGGAGCCTGAGTTTTGTGCAGGGATGTGGTGGCAGGTGAGATTGGAAGGCTATTTGGGCCAAGTCATGGACAGACTCCAGTACAGCTTGAGTTTCTTCCCTAAGGTAGTGGGGAGCCATTGAAGGTTTTTGAACAAAGGAATCACACAGTCTAACCCAGGTAGTAAGGAGAATTTCTCTGGCTGCACAGGAAGTGGAACAAGGGTAAGCTCCAAAGACCAATTAGGAAACTTTTCCCACCATCTGGGGCAAGAGAAGAGGAGAATTGGAGAGGAGAGGAGGAGGAGGAGGAGGAGGAGGAGGGGAGAGCCACCCCGAGGAGGCAGATCTGGCAGGTTGTATAATGACAAAGCAGAGTTTTGGGACATTTGTCAGACACTGGCTTCCCTGGGGCTCCTGTCTCATCTTCTGGATTTACTCGGGCCCTGCCTTATGCATAATGAGCCCAAGATGCTTCCAAGTGAGTGGTCCCTTCAGGTTTCAGGCAGGCCTCGGAGGCTTCCTGTCTGAATCTTTCATCCTCCCAGCAGGGCTGACAGATGGGGGAAATGTGGACGTCTGGGCTCACCTTATCTCGCTGCTATCATCCTGTTTCCCGTATCATAGTAACAGAGCAGATGTCAGGGCCTGTTGCTAAGGGTTCCCTGGAATATTAATACCTGGGTGTAGAACAGAGGGCTTTCACACGGGGCCTTTGAGGGCTTTGGAAGCACCAGCTTGGTGGCAAGTATTGGCTTTTCTTTCCTTCCTTCTTTCCCACCCTCCTCTTCTCCCCTGTCACCAGGGTCTGTGCACAGCGAGCTGTCTTGGGATGGCAGACTTGGCAGTAGCAAATATACAGCCGCTCTCCCTCCCACACCAGGGCAGACATGACTAATGGATCACAGCATCCTCTCCCGGGGAGGCTGAGACGCCTGTGCCATGCAGCTGTGTGTGTGTGGGGGGAGGGGGAGCGCGGGGGTTGCAGGGCAGATGAAGCCAGAGGCTACCTGCTCACGCCCCAGCCCCTTCCCTGTGCCCTCTTCTCGCCCCCTGGCACGTGGTGGGGTTGGAGTGGGTTTTGCGGTCCTCTCCTCTTTGCCCCATAGCCAGGCTTCTGGTCTTTTCACTGCCAAGTAGAAAATTAACTCGGAATAGTTCCGGAAGGGCTTTTAGCTGGATATTGAAAGCCAGAGTGGGGGTTTTATTTGCCAGATGTCATTTGTTGTATATTGCCATGATAATGCTGCGGTGGCCCCAAGTGCTTGCTCTCTCCCACAGTGGCTGTTAGAAACCAGGGTTTCTGCACTTGCTGGTGGCCTGTGTTCGCCCTTGCATGTCAGGGTCCCCTCATAGGCATACGGTTTCCTTCCAGCCGTCCCCTGCCTGCTTCTTTATTGCTTTTCTCCCTGGGTCGTTTCTTACACAGAGATGGTCTGTCCTGGGAACCCACACCCTCTCATGCCTGGGCTCTGGGATGTGTTTCTCTGGGGGGTATTTCATGGGGTCACACATGTGACTTCATCAAGGTAGACTTTTGGCTAAGTAAATGTTCTGGTTCCAAGTGCTTGGGTCCACTGACCGCTGTCACTGCTGCTGACACCCTACAGCTCCATGCAAGCTGGCTCATTTGGGCCACAACCTGGGGAGTCTCCTTGGCTCAGTCGTATCCACCAAGGTGCCCCTGAAATGAAATCAAGGAGGTGAGAACAGCAGCAGGGTCAAAGGAGGGGAGATGGGAGTGGTAGGAGCTACCTTGTCCCTGGCCCATGCCCAGATGCAGGCAGAGGCTCCCCCAGCGTGCATCCTGCTTCTCTAGGGGCAGGTTGTTTTGCCCTCTGAGCGTCTGCTTCAAAGTCTGGTGTGTGCCAGAGGCAGCTGCAGATGGGTCATATTTTCATATTCTGTAATAGCTATTTCAAGTTGGGAAGGTTGGGGGCTGAACAGCAGTTTTCCTGGGGTAATGACTATTTGTGCTGCTCTGAGCGTCACAGAAATGTGCTCTCACAAGTGTCCTCACCAGGACCCCATGGGGAGGTCTTCACCCCATTTTTTTTCTTTTGGTGCTGGGGATTGAACTCAGGGGCGCTCTACCACTGAATGACGTCCCCAGCCCTTTTACTTTTTTACCTGGAGACGGGTTCTTGCCAAGTTGGCCAGGCTGGGCCTTGAACTTGTGATTCCTCCTGCCTCAGCCAGCCCCTGCTCCTGTGTAGTGGAGAATATTCTGCTGGCCAGCAGTTACCTGACCTGCCTAGACCACTTGGTCAGCACTCAGAATGCTAAAGCCAATGCTGGCTCTCTCGACTGTGAGCCTGTGAACTCTGTTAGGGAGGTAGAGACCTTCTTTTAAGTGGATACGAATGTTTGCAAAGAAGAGGCTTTTTTTATTTTTTATTTTTTTTTTTAGTAAGCGATTAGCGGACGGTACATGTTATTAAAACCAGCTAATAGGAGATCCACAGATAGCTTCTTCCATCTCTGAGTTCTGAGTTCAGAAATACAAAATCCACACGAGGCCAACAGGGCACAGCTGCTTCCAGCCGATTTTTCATGATGGCCAATTCTAGATGCACTTTGGAGAGAGCGGGCAGGAGGCCTGCCTGCAGCTGACAGCTTGGAGTGGCTCTGAATGTTACTGTAGAAAAGCTGACTCAAAAGTACGTTTCCAAAAAATACACATTTCCTTTCCCTTTTGGGAATGTATCCTAAAGAAGTCATCAGAGCTGGGCACTAGGATTTATCTCCCAGGATATCCATTTTAGTGTTGAATATATTGAGCAAAATTGGAAATCATTTCTGTGTCCCCAAACTGGCCTCAGTTTCCCTCTTAGCCAATTCCCTGCCCCCTCCCCTCCCTCTCTTTCTCCCCCGCTCCCCACTCTCCACAATTGGGGGGGTTCATCTTCCTGCTTTTCCAACCACCTTCTATAAGCCCCTGGTTTGTTGCCTCAGAAATTAACTTTTGTCCAGTTAATTATTGCCAAGAATATAGTGCATGTTTAATACATTTAATATTGTTCTTTGGAAATTTGGAGGAAAATGGTAAAATATATCCAGAATACTAACCTATAATTGCAAATCGTATTTTTGAAGAATTTTCATAATGTGGGAGAGTACCATGTAGTATAAAATAGTAAATAATATAAGTGGTAAGGACCTGATTTTATTTAAAATCTGCACTTGGGCCCGGGGTTGTGGCTCAGTGGTAGAGCGATCGCCTCGCACGTGCAAGACCCTGGGTTCGATCCTCAGCACCACATAAAAAAATAAATAAGTGAAATGAAAGTGTTGTGTCCAACTACAACTAAAACATAAATATTTAAAAAATAAATCTGCACTTGCATACCTAGGAAAAATTGGAAGGTGTATCCTTAAGATGTTAAGAGTCATCATGGGGGGTGGTGATGAGTGAATTTGGGGAGTTTTTCTTTATAATATCCTACAGTGCCCAGGCGACAGCCGAGTGAGGTTGCATAATGACGGCTGCTGAGTCGGAAGCAGTCCCTCTGACTGCAGCATCTGCCTATGGTGACAAATACCCAGGGCCACAAGCTTTTGACTTGAGAGGCAGAAGTGAATCTCCCTTTAAGAATGTGTTCAGTTTTTACAAACCTGATTCCAAAAGTTGCCCCCAAACTTATGAACTTGTATCCCCCACAGACCACTCCTGTTCCCTGTCCCCCATCCTGCAGCCTCCTCAGCCTCTGCATGGCAGACTATCTGAGCGTCTGTCTGTCTGGCAGCCTGGGCAGCTGGGTGCAGCTCTGCTCAGCTCATCCCCCACCCCCAGAGGTCAAGATCGCACCAGGAGGCTGCAGCTTCCTGGCACAGGAAGGGCTGGTGGGCACAGCAGCCCCTGGTGGATAATCAGCTCAGCTGTCAGACAGACCGCCACCGCCCCGCGGCTGACTACCCCATAGGGAATCCCCAGGAACAAACTGCCTGAGTCAACAAGTGACAGAGCGTGCCAGAGTCCCTTCTGTTCTTTGCTTGTTTGTCTCATTTGTTTCCTGAATTCCTCCTTGTCTGGTAAGGGCCTGTGCTGGGCCCCCAGAATGCTGAGAGGGGGAGGATGCAGAGCTTCCAGGGCGTCCACAGCCTCATGGGGAGAGGAGATGGGTCAGAAGCAGGACCTCGGGGCTGGTTGTGACCGGGCGTGCCCTGCTCAGCAACAGCCTTAACTCACGTTCTTCATCCAACACGTGCACACACCCCAGTCCTCTGGCCTCTTCGTGTTGCAGCTGAGAGAACCTCAGAGACCCTCTGTGCCATCTCTCTATGGTTTACAGAGGAGGTGACTAGAGCTCCACTTGGCCAGTCTTGGTCCACCAGCCCTACCTCTGTTCCCCTCCAAGCCCGTTCCTTCCCTCTCTCCCCCTAATTGGTGGGTTCACCTTCTGGCTTTTTCTTTTTTCTTTTCAGTTATACATGACACAGAATGTACTTTGACATACTCTGCATCCATAAGTATAACTTCCCATTCTTGTGGTTGTACCTGATGTGGAGTTACAGTGGTCATGTGTCCATATATGAACACAGGAAAGTGATGTCCGATTCATCCTACTGTCTTTCCCCGCTTCTCCCCTGTCCAATCTGGTGAACCATCCCCTATCTCCCCACCTATTGTGAATCAGCATCTGCATATCAGAACATTCTGCCTTTGGTGTTTTGGGATTAGCTTATTTCACTTAGCATTTTAGCCTCCAGTTCCATCCATTTACTGGCAAATGACCTAACTGCATTCTAATTCGTGGCCGAGTAATATTCCATTGGTATATATACCACATTTCTTTATCCATTCATCTGTTGAAGGCTCCTAGGTTGGTTTCATAGCTTGGCTATTGTGAATTGCACCTCCCTGCTTTTTAAAAAAAATTTATATCTGACAGCAGAATGTATTACAATTCTTATTACACATATATAGCACAATTTTCCATATCTCTGGCAATATAATTGGTATATTCACACCAATTTGTGTCTTCATACATGTACTTTGGATAGTAATGATCATCATCTTCCACCATCATTAATAACCCCATGCCCCCCTCCCTTCCCCTCCAACCCCTCTGCCCTGTCTATTCCTCCCATGCTCCCACTCCTTATCCCACTATGAATCGGCTTCCTTATATCAAAGAAAACATTCGGCATTTAGTTTTTTGGGATTGGCTAACTTCACTTAGCATTATCTTCTCTAACTCCATCCATTTACCGGCAAATGACATGATTTTATTTTCTTTTATTGCTGGGTAATATTCCATTGTGTATATATGCCACATTTTTTTTATTCATTCATCTATTGAAGGGCATCCAGGCTGGTTCCACAATTTAGCTATTGTGAATTGTGCTGCTATAAACATTGATGTGGCTGTGTCCCTATGATATGATGTTCTTAAGTCCTTTGGGTATAGACCAAGGAGAGGGATAGCTGGGTCAAATGGTGGTTCCATTCCCAGTTTTCCAAGGAATCTCCATACTGCTTTCCAGATTGGCTGCACCAATTTGCAGTCCCACCAGCACCTCCCTGCTTTTTAAACCACCTTCTATAAGCCCCAGTTTAGTTCCCTCATAAGTTAATGTTTGTTTAGTTAACTGCCATTATCACAAGGGTATGGTGCATATTTATCACATACAATATGGTTCTATGGATCTCTGGAGGACCCAACTTTTAGGGTGTGGGTTGCCCCTCTTGTTCGAGACCACCCTTGAGGAGGCACAGAGCTCAGGAATGTGTGTGTGGGGGGGGGAAGGTGAGCACACCATTTGGCAGAGAAGCCCCTGGTGAAGAAGTCTGGGAGCCAGGGACAAGGGTCCGTCGTGAGGTCCTCATCTGCTGCCAAATCGGGGACCTGGCAACTCAGGCTGAACAGGTTTGGAGAACCTACGCTGGTTGTTGGCAGATTCCAAAAATGTTCCTCTTGGAATTCTTCTTCTTCTCCCTGATCTGTCCTGAGGTTGCTCTGTGCGGGTAAAGGACACTTGTGTCTTTCCAGGTGCCAGCCAGTCTGGGGTGGACACTGGTCCCAGAGCTGGGACTTGAATGCTCCTGTGTTCTCTTTCCTGACCTTTGCTCAGAGCCACCCCTGGGGACATGCTCAGCCACAGACTTGCATCTGAGATGAACCTTCACAGTCAGCGCCATGGAACTGAGCCCCAAAGGCGACATATTTCCATTTCCCTTGAATTCTCCATAGCATGTCACTCTGGACTTGTCTCTCCTGAAGCTCCAACAGTGACAGGTGTGGCGGGTGGGAGGAGCTCGTTGTTGTGTGGACTAGGTTGGAGCAGGGGCTCAGTCCCTACCTCCCAGGACCCTCCTGTCCCTGCCTCCTCGTGCAGCTCAGCAGGGTGGGGACGGGGTGCTTGCTTTTTCAGCCTGTCCCCTCAGCTCCCTCGAGTACCACAGGGGAAACAGAGGGCCCCGGGAAGGTAACTGACTTGTCCCTGGGCTTCTAGCAAGTTTGCACAAAAGCCAGGCACGCTCGGGTCTCTTTCTTGCCACCTCTTGCCCTGCCTCGAAGCCCTCCCCCACCCCTGAGTTTGCTGCAGAAGGTGACAATGTGATGCAGAGAAAGTGGCTCTAGTCTGAGGGCCGTGGACCAGCGTAGCTAACTGCGCCTTTCCTCAGCCTCTCTACCTCTCTCTCTCTTCTCATCCGTCAAAGAATAATGATTAGATTTCGGAAGAACAGAGCAGAATGGCCTGTGACTGGCCGAAGATGGATGGATTGTTTTGGCTAAAGGAATACACCTTTATTTTCATTTTCTGTACATTTGTAAGAAAATGACCAAGAGTCTTATGATGATAAGAAAAGTAGTTTTAATTAATTTTTAATTAATTTTTTTAAAGGAATACACCCCCCAGTGGATCAAAGCACAGCTAAGTGGCACCTTGAGGTGTCCCTTACCAGTGATCCCCAAACTCTGGCCCCAAAGTGACCCAAAGGGGACAAGAAGTTCATCCCCTCGAGATCTATGTAGGGGTGATTTTGGGGGAGCCGTGAAGAGCATCTACCACCCATTTTGGGGGCCTCCATCTTCTGGGTGCTTCCATTCTTCATCAAGGTGATGAAGGTGTCAGCATCAGGACTCGGGGCTCTTTTCTCATCCCCCCTCCCTGCACTTCATGGTCTTTTAGTTCAGAAGCTTCTGCAGAGATGGGATCTTCCTGAGGTTCCCTGGACTGTCACTGCCCTGTTACTCCCCAGTTTCTACAGGGTAGAGCAGAGAGTGGTCACCCCGACCCTCACTGTGCACAACCCCCTGGGGAAAGAGCTGGAAGGCTCAGGATTTGCTGTCCTGAGCGCGGTGCCCCAGGCGGTAGCGCCCCCTGCAGGTTGGAGCAGGAGCTGTACTGCTCCTTCCATTTCTTGAAACTCCCAGAATATTAAAAAAAAAAAAAAAAAAAAAAAAAAGGAACCGGGGTATGGAGCTGTAGTACGTTTTAAATGTTTGCTTTGAACAGAGTAATGCATTTCACACCCACACAGCAGTGTGACTCTGCTATTCACAAGATAACAAATTAAAAACAAAAACAAAACCCCTTCAGAAATACACAGTGCTTCAAAGGCTGAGGCTGGGGCACAGGTTGAAAGCAGTTGGAGGAATGTTGTTTTTTAAGCCTGTGGTTTCCTGACCTGTATGTTAGTTACCATTTTTTGAGAGAAGGGCCCGGGTTATATCTGGGGAGGCTTTTGGTGTCTGGCCAGCCCCTGGGTCTGCCCCGGAGGCCTGCCTATGGGGTCTCCACATGTGGCTCACAGTGTAATGTTGGGTCCAATCTGCAAGAGCAGGTGCCCAAATGTGCCTGTGGGACAGAGACCAGCTTGGTAAGGTCCTGGGCTTGGCTCCTGCAGGGGCCAGTCAGCTGTGTTCCGCACACTGCCCCCTGCTGGTCGTCACAGAAATGGGGTGACATTGGTCTGGAAGCAGTTCTCTAAGCACGGTCCATCACCTTGCAGGGGTCCATGAAGTCAAAACTACTTTTCTTATCATCATAAGACTCTTGTTCATTTTCTCACAAATGTACAGAAAATGAAAAGTTCGTTCATGTGGTTTTAGATGCCACATTGGAGCTAATCTTTAAGAAAATTGACGTCTGTGGAGTGTTGGTGGCGTATCAGAGAAAAATATCCACGATTATCTGGAAAAGCTATTAAAATCCTCCTCCTTCTTCCACCTGTCTTGCACACCTGTGACACTCTGAATAGACTTTAACAAAACGGCATATCACCAAAGGTTGAATGAAAAAGCAGATAAGAACATCCAGTTGTCCTTTGTTAAACTACAAATTATATAGATTTGTAAAAATACAAAACAATGCCATTCATCTCACTAATTGTTTGTTTTGAAAAGTTATTTTTATATACCATATAATAACCTAGTGGGTTTATTATTTTTAATTAATTAACAATAATTTTAAAATTTCTGTTTTAATTTTTACATTTCATACCAATAAATATAACCCAGATAGTTTGGAGTCCTCAAAAAATCTTGTAACATTTATCCGGGCATGGTGGTGCACATCTGTAATCCCAGCTACTTGGGAGGGAAGGATTGCAAGTTTAAGGTCAGCCTGGGCGGCTTAGCAAGACCCTGTCTCAAAATTAAAAAATTTTAAAAACAGGGCTGACAATATAGCTCAGTGGCAGAGTAAGGTCCTGAATTCAGTCACCACTGCCACAAACAACAACAAAACATCAAATGGATGGTGATTCATATCCCACAAAGTTCATGTTTTTTTGCGGGGGAGGATGCAAAATACTCAATCAGCTTGTGTCAGCCACTAATCTGCTTTCAGTCTCCATAGATCAGCTTAATCTGGATATTTCCTATAAATGGGATCATATGCTATGTGATATTTTTACCCTTAGCATCATATTTTCAAGGTTCAGCCATATAATAGCAGGTATCAGAACATCGTTCCTTTTTATGGCCAAAGAATCTTTATCATATGCCTATGGCACATCTTATTTCTCCATCAGTTGATGAGTATTTTAATTGTTTCTACTTTTTGGCTATTATGAATAATGTAGCTGTGAACAGTCCTGTGCTGGTTTTTGTGTGAAAATAGGTTTTTGTGCTCTTGAGTATATACCTAGGAGTGGAGTTTCTTGATTATAAGTCTGTGTTTAATATTTTGAGGAAATAGCAAACAAATGTCCAATCTCAGTGGGCTTCTTAAAAAAAATATTTATTTTTTAGTTATAGTTGGACACAATATCTTTATTTTATTTTTACGTGGTGCTTAGGATCAAACTCAGGCCCTTGCACGTGTTAGGCTAGCGCTCTACCGCTAAGCCACAATCCCAGCCCCAACCTGTGTTTTTTGGGGACTGGGGATTGAACTGAGGGACACTCTACCACTGAACTACATTTCTGCATTTTAGCCTTTCTTCTTTCTTTCTTTTTTATTTTGCTAAGTAGCTGGGGCCTTGCTGAGTTGCCCAGGCTAGCCTAGAACTTGCAGTCTTCCTGTCTCAGCCTCCCAAGTTGCTGGGATTATAGGTGTACGCCACCACACCTGGCCCACCTCAATATTTCTAAAAACCTGAGTTTGGGAACCACTCGCTGGCCTAGATTAGATCAGAACAAGGCGGTGAGGGTGACTCTCCTTGCTCATCTCTTTCTCTCTCCACACATACACACCTTTCCTTCAATATGCGCGAGTAACATTCTCATAATAGATCCTTAAAGAGGTGGCCCCATCCTTGGTGGCCGAGCTAGACTGTATTAAACCACCAGGTTTTTCTGGAGCAGGATTCTGGGCCAGTCCTGGTGGACAGTGCCTGGTGGAGATCCTTGCTGCTGCTGTCCCCTCCCTGCCCTCTCCCCTGCTCTGCAGAGTGCTGTGGTCTTCCGTGTGATCCCTTGGGGAACATGAGTCATGGAGACCCGGGGCTGCCATTCTGGATCCCCCAGGTTTGGGAACAGGGGAGGGTTTTCCCCAGCTGTCTGGCCCCTGCCTCCTGGTTGGACCCTCTTGGAGGAGATGTGCTCGGGCGGGGGCTGTCCTGGAAGGTCAGGGTTGGATTGCCCTCTGGACATTGCCAACTGAGTTGAAAATTACTGAGGCTGCACCTCTTCTCTTTCTGAACTTCCCCTCTGATGTCCTGCCAATCTTGTCTGCTCTGGTCACCTAGCCACATGATCCACCCAGTCACCCACCCAGGATTCTGGAGCTCTGAGGGAGCTGTGTTTTGCTGGAGGAATGAGAAACCATCAGCGGGAATGGTGTATGGGAACAGGCTGGAAGTGCCATGTGTCCCATGCCCGAGTGCAGAGGGATTCTGTCGGCCATCCACATCCCAGCCAGGGACATGCTCTCTTGTCTTCTCCCTTTTCTCATCTAGATGTGACTCCCCGTGCCTGTCCGGGTGCCCTGAGCCATGGCTGACACCATCTTCGGCAGTGGGAATGATCAGTGGGTTTGCCCTAACGATCGGCAGCTTGCGCTGCGAGCCAAGTGAGTACTTCCGAGGCCACTCCAGGTTGTCCCTTCCCTCTCCCTCCCTGCTTCCTTCCTTCCTTTGGGAAGATTCCTTCCCAGGGAGTTGAAGCAAAGCCTGGAGGGAAGTGCCCGTCAAATGCACGCCACACTCTGGACCCTGGGCTGGGCGTTTCACTCCTTTAGTCATTTACCCACCGGGTGGAATGTGTTCCCATTTCTCAGATGAGGAAAGGGATGCCCATGTGATGTAACATTAAGTTAAATTCAAGTTAATGAACATCCAGTTAATGAAGTTAACATTTAATGTTATCATTTAAGTTAACACTGGGTCAAATGCCCATGTCATTTAACATGTGCGTGGGCAGACTGGGACCCACATCTGGTCCAGCTGACTCTCATGCCTGTATGTGATCACCACAGGCCACAGAGGACCCGACCACCTCATTTTCCCTTTCTCCTGTCACTTGAGGCTTGAGTCTGAAAGTCCCTTGAGGCAGAGCCTTGAGTCTCTGGATGCCCACTTCAGAGTCCAGTGCCTGGCCTGGTCACACAGTCCAGGTCAAGGCCCTCTCCAGAAATGAAGAGCTGTCTCTCAGGCCGAGACCCAGCCGGGCTCTTTCTCAGGTCTCTCCCGTGCTCTTGGCAGGGTTCTCTACCTCCTGGCTTTGGCCTGTGCCCTGGGGAGTCGTGACTTTCCCATTAACCCAGGTGTCCCCCCAGCTCTGGCTGGACCCAACTACTCCCTCCACTGTCCCTCTGGACTGGGGGGTGCATCTCCAGCCTTCCCATCCCTCTTTGCCCCTCTGAGGGGTGGGGGTCCCTGGCGTCTGGTAAGTTCTAGAGTGTCCTTGTCCTTGACTCTGCCAATTAGGGGAGCCACTATTTCCCAAAAGGGACCAAGTTAGAGAAATTTGCAATTAGATGTCATGAGCCTTCGGGGGGGACAGAGCTGAAACTTCAAAGAGAAATAGGAAAATTAATCTGAAACACCCAGGAAGAGTGGTGTCATGCATGATTTGCGGGAATTTTTGCCCCACAGTTAATTTGTCCGGTTCACTGGGATGGCTTGGCTCCCCTTAGCTGCCTCCGCCTCTCCCCTGCAGGGAGAATGACCAGGGACGCAGAGTGGGCCCCTGTCCTCCAATGCCAGGCAGATGACGGGCCCTTCCTGGGAGGGCAAGGAGTCTGGGGAGAGCTCTGACAGGGCCACATGTGCCCTGCTCACCCCTCCAGGGTCCCTGTCCTTCCCTCTGACTGCAGCTCCTGCTCAATGGCTGAGATTCTTCCAGAAAAGCAAATGCTGTGTCTCTTCCCCCAGGGTATGCTGCCAGTAGGGCCTGGCAGTGTCCAGGAGAGTAGTGCAAATCAGGAAGAGTGGGGAGCTGTGCCCCATGGGACCCTTCAAGCAAGCCCAAGGCCTCTGCAGTGCAGGCCTTCCTGCCAGTCCTCTGGCACTATCCACCACTGGTTGTAGAGCAGTGAACAAGACTGCTATACAGTCCTTTGTCTTAAAGCAAAGACATGGAGGCGAGCTTTGTGCAAATACTTACCCATGTGCTACAGCTGTTTTCACAGTGATCATTGGCAGTGGGGCATGTGATAGGGGTGCTAACTTAGTCTGGGGGTCGGGAGAGACTTCCTTTGAGTGTGGTGCTTATGTTGAGACTCAGAGGAGGAGTAAATGTTAGATGGAGATTACAAGGGAAGCTTTAGGCAGAAGGAACAACATATGCAAAGGCCCTGAGGTGGAAAGAACATGGCATGTAGGTGTGCTGACAGGAGGCTGGTGTGGTTTGAATGTAAAAAGGAGGATGGATGAGTGAGCCAGGACCAGATTGGGGCAGGGTCTGGCTTTCTAGAAACTCCCATTCTGGAGGGGGAGACAGCAGGTGCCATGTTGCCTCATAATAGTGCCGCAGCCTAACGATAGGCACATACCCATGCCTTATAGGAGCTCTCATGTGACACCTCTAAACACATGGCCCCTGGACTGTCCCTAGGCCATACTGCAGCTCTGTGGATGTGGTGAGGGTGCTGGAGTTTGCACTAGGCCTCACGGTCAGTGCCCTTGTTCTCTCCCAAGGCTGCAGACGGGTTGGTCTGTGCACACCTACCAGACGGAGAAACAGAGGAGGAGCCAGAGCCTCAGCCCGGCAGAGGTGGAGGCCATCCTGCAGGTCATCCAGAGGGCGGAGCGGCTCGACGTCATGGAGCAGCAGAGAATCGGGTAAGGACTGGCCAGCCAGGCAGCAGTGAGCCTGGTGGGAGAAAGACAGGCTGTTGGTCTGAGCCATGGGTGGGGCGGCGGAAAGCTCAGTCCTGGTGTTCTGAGGCCTGACTGGGCGTGGTCAGGAGACCCTCCCACCCCCCCACACACCCCTCCTCTGCCAGACACCCCTGGAGTATAGGCAAGAACCTAGCTCCTCAAAGCCCCAGGATGCCCCTCTGTAAGCTGGGATGGCAACTGATGTACAGGCCCAGGTCACAGCACATGAATGAGCCTGGTGAGCCCTGTCAGGGGCTGGTGGGCTCCACACACCTGCCCGTCAGCCACGGCTCAGCCACAGCTCAGCCACGGACGGGACAGATTCAAGCCCTGGCTGAACCTGAATGACTCCACCCAAGGCCTCCAGCTCGTTCTCAGCTCCTTTGATACCCAGAGCAGACCACAGTTCAGTTGTCCAATGTTTTTTGTGGTGTCTTTTTTATTTTATTATAAAAGCATTTTCTAAAAAAATCTAAAAAAATACAGAAAAGTCTAAGCAGAAAACACAGTGACACTGCATTGCATGAGGCAGGAATCCATTTCATTCTGGTCTCTCCTTTTTTTTTTCCTGTGGTCGTTCTTGTTCATTTGTTTGTTTTTGTACCGGGGATTGAACTCAGGGGTACTTAACCAATGAGTCATATCCCCAGCCCTTTTCTGTATTTTATTTAGAGACAGGGTCTCGCTGAGTTGCTTAGTGCCTCGCTAAGTTGCTGAGGCTGGCTTTGAACCTGTGATCCTCCTGCTCTTGAGCTGCTGGGATTACAGGTGTGCGCCACTGGGTCCCGGAAAAATCAGACATTGTAGAAATGCAGTTTGGGAGGTAGAGGTACTATTATAAAGATGACTGCTGTCTGCAGTTTCTTGGATGTGCCTTAGAAAAAGGAACATATCCTTTTAATACAGAAAGAGCTTATATAAGACTGGTTGGATTTTGCTTTTTTTTTTTTTCCTTTATTTTAATCTAACCTGGTAGGAACCCCAACTTCAAATACTGGTGATTGACCACTTGGCCTTCTGATTCCTCCCGGAAGCCTTCATGGTGGAAAAGAGCATTCATGGGGTCCCCTCAGCCATCGGGGTGCTTCTTTGCCTCTTTGAGCAGCTTTACGGAGTCCTTCCTGTTGTCTAGCTCCATGGCAAGCGCTGGGTTGGTAGGGAGACATGGAATGACCCAGAAGGTCACGACACAGGTTCATGGTTCAGATGGAAGAGGTGCATCCTATGTATTTAGGTGACAAAAACATGGGATGGAGTGACAGAGGGTCCCCAGGAACAAGTGGGTCATGCCAGGGCTGGAGCTAGGTTTGGCCTAGGCCCTGCAGGTCCTGGCATGAAGGACATGACCCCCGTGGAAGCCATCAGTACTGGCTGGAGGGTGTGTGCAGAGGTGGCCTCGGGACCCAGTCTGTTGTCTCTCGGCCCCGGTGGCAGCTGCTCACCATCTCAGGGAAGGCGTGGGGCTCCGCCTCTTGGGAGCTTTGTGATTCTAGCCAGTAGCCTCCTATTTTGGAACCTCAGTCTTCTCATCTCTGAAATGGGAAATGCAACGTGCCTTTCACTGGGGCTGTAATGCCTGCGTGTTGTCCTTCCTTCGTTCAAGAATTTTTCCTGAGTGGCCCCTGGCTTCTGGCAATACAGTAGCTGACAAGCCCAGTCAATTCCATGGGGCCTGTAGGTTTCACACAGGTTGAGGAGCAGCAGGGGCTGTGGTGTGACCAGGGGCCGCAGGAGAGGCACCTGCCCAGGCTTGGCAGGCTTCGGAGAAGTGCCCTGGACGCTCACCCCCTCGGCGTTTCCAAGAAGAGCCCTTTTTTCTTTCCTTCGACAACTTGTCCCCGTCATCCTGGGTCTTTCTCCCCTCCCCCCACCAAGCCATGCAGGGTGCTTCAGAAATACCCACCCCGTCTCTGTCCTCCCTCCTGGGGCCCCAGGCCCAGTTCCTCTTGGCATCCTCCCTTCGGCTCTCCCTGTTATCCCAGCTTTCCACAGAAGCCAGGGTGAGCTTTTTAAAATGTCACTTTAGATCCAATCACTCCTCTCTTTAAAACTCTTCAGTGGCTTTGGATTGAGCTTAGGGAAAAAAAACGACTCCAGTTTGTGACCTGAAACTCCCGTGATCTGGCCCCTGCTCGCCCCTCCAGCCGCACTGGGTCGCTGTCTGCTCACGAGGCAGTGGCCCTGATGACCTTACCGGTGGCCATTTCTCTGCCCAAGCCTTAGCTCTGCTGTTCCCTCTGCCTTTCCTGCAGGTGGCTGGGTCCTGGCCATCCTCCATCTCAGGTCCCATGTGTTCAGAGCCTTTGCTGGCCACCAGCACCTCTGACCCCCTCGATCGTCCTCCCCACACCCCGATTCTTTGCATTCCACAGTGCATCTCTGTTTCCCGACGCAGTTTGTGTGTTTATGGATTTTTCTTATTGAGTGGAAGTTCCATGGAAGCTGGGGCCGGCCGTGACTCTCTCTGGCTAGTTTGCTACAATATCCCCAGTGCTTGGGGGCATTGGAGGTGCTCAGTTGATAGTTGGTGAATAAAATGAATGATCCATGAGAGAACAGTACCTGTGGCATGGTCCAGTGTTGGGGCCCTGTGGCAGCCATGCTCAGGCAGTGGTTGTGTCGGGGACAGGAAGCACATTCCTTCTGATTCCTGTGTCCTGTGCTGCAGGCGCCTGGTGGAACGGCTGGAGACCATGAGGCGGAATGTGATGGGGAACGGCCTCTCCCAGTGTCTGCTCTGTGGGGAGGTGCTGGGCTTCCTGGGCAGCTCATCAGTATTCTGCAAAGACTGCAGGAAGGTAAGGCCCTGCTCTGACCCTTCTATTCTGACTCTCCCACCTTGACCAGCTCTGCTGCTCTGTGGCTTTGCATCTTGGCTCCCAGGAGTGAGAGGGGGAGTGTGCGTGTGTTCATGCCTGCATTTATGCATGCATGTGGTGTTCTCTGCCTCTTGGCAAACAGGACCAGGGCCTGAAGATGAGAGAAGAGGACCTGGCTTCTAGGGCTCGCTCGAAGAAGTGGACTTTGGGTCAGAGCTGGGGTGTGCATCTGGCTCTTAACACTAGCCATATGACCTCAGAAGACTTGGCTACCATTTCATGCCTCAGTTTCCTCATCTGTAAAGTAGGGGTAATGATAACGTATACCTCAGAGCTGTGAAGATTAAATATATTAAATTTGAGGCTCTTAAAATCTTGCCTGGCACAGAGGCACCCAATAAATAAGTACTATTTTCCTCAGGGCCAAGTCATGTGCTAGGAGTGTACTTCCTATTCTATTGGTCTGCTTTCTTGGTCTCTGGTCACTCCATGAAAAATGATCTTTGCAGCAAGAGCAAGTAGATTTTCTCCTTACTGTAAATTGTGTCACATGTTAAATTGTTTCATATTGAGTTCAAGACTATATATATACATATGTGTGTGTGTGTGTGTGTGTGTGTATGGAGAGAGAGAGTGTGTGTTTTTAGTTTTCCCTGGTGTTTCTAATTGCGTTTCTTATTGCCCAAAGAAATACGTCCTTCTGATCTTCAAGATTATTCAGTATTTTGATTTTGCTCTCTGACACACCAAACCTATTTCCTATTTTCTCATAAAAGAACCTTTTCTAGATTCTTATGCCTGCTCTAGACTAGACTAGTTGTGACGCAGCAATCATGGGACTGCCCTTTGCTGTCCTCCCAGGTGAGAGATAGTATTCCCAAGATACCATGTCTTCCTCTCTTTTTTTTATCCTCATTTTGCTGGAACGCATCCTCAAGTAACTTCCATGTGTCGGTCACTGTCTTAAAGCTGGAGTTGTTATAGTGAACAAGACAGAAAAAAAGAACCCTATCTCTTGAGATGATATTGGGCCAGGAAACAAAAAACAAGTAATGATCAAATAAATCAGATGATTTTGGAAAATAATAAATCTGGGAAGGAGTAACAGGAGATATAAGACTAAGGGTGGAGAGGGGTCGGGGATGCCAAGGGTTGAGAGAACTAAAACAGATGGAATAGTCGAGTAAATATGAACTTGGAACACTGAGGCCATTGGCCACCTTGACAAGGGCATCTTCAGTGTCATTCAAGCTGGATGAGAAAGAGGTTAAGGTAACCAATTACTAAATGGGAAGGTGAGAATTTGGAGGTATGGTCATTTTTCCCCCTGACTTGGTCACTTGTGGTGAATTGGACTGACGTACGTGGATTCGTTGGCCCAAGTATGGTGGAGGTGTGACAGGTTCCTGGTGTCATGGTGTCCCAGCTTCTCTCCAGCCCCTGGACTGGAGACCAATGGGGACTCAGGTTACCTCACACTCAGGGCTTGAGCAGGTGGAATTGCTTTGTGCTTCCTACCTGGAACAATAGGCCCCAGCAGCCTGTTTCCTCCTCCTGCCTCTCAACCCACACGGCTCCAACTCCAGGTTCATGGCACCATGAACAAGGGCAGAACCCTCTCTCCTTCCCCTGAGAGGCAGGCTACCGCCCCTGGCTGTGAAAAGTGAATGCCAGCTGCTCCTGGGAGAGCCATTTCCTAGGCAACATGGGGTCCCAGGGGAGGACCTCAGCTGGATGTGGGCCTGGAGGGAAATTGTTCCTCCAGTCTCTCTCCCCGCCCCCACTGCCTGGTACCCTGGAGCTCTGGGCTCCTCAGGAGGACTTTCCTATTTGAAGTGGTGTTCTCTCTCTCTCTCTCTCTCTCTCTCTCTCTCTCTCTCTCTC